TCTTCTCCAGCACCACAGCTCAAAGGCGTCAATTCTCCTTCTATCCTCCCTAGTCATTGTCCAACTCTCTGATGCATAACAAGTGATTGCAAAGGCCATGGCCTGTATCAGGCGCACCTTAGTCTCCAGAGAGACACCGTTGCTCTTGAGTACTTTAGGTTGAGTTTTTTTGTTGTTGAATTCTAAGAATTTTTTTGTATCTTTTGGATACTAGATATTGACAAATACACAGTTTACAGAGGTTTTTCCTGTTAAGTTTTTGTTAGATTGCTTTTGTATTTTATTCATGTTGTCTTTTGATGCACAAAATTGTTTATCTTGATATCGAACTACTCTTAGTTTCTTATGTCATCTAAGACTTGGTTGCCAAATTCAAAATCAGAGAGATATATTTTGTGTTTTTTAAAAAGTATGTTTTCTTTAAAAATTTTTATAATTTCAGCCCTTACTTTGAGGTCTTTAATCCATTCTGCATTGGTATTGGAGTCTGAAGTGAGAATCTGGCTTCAGTTTTTTGTGTGTAGAGATCTGTTTGTTCTGGAGTGTGAAGTGAGAGTCCAGCTTCAGTTTTTTACATGTAGAGATCAGTTCTAACACTACTTGTTGAAGAGGCTGTTCTTTCCCACTGATGGGTGGTCTCGGCACCCTTGTTGAAAATCGGCTGACCTTAGATGCACAGGTTTATTTCCGAATTCTCAGTTCTGCTCCCTAGATCTGTATGTGTAAACTCATACTAGAATTAACAGTGTTCTGATTACTTCTGCTTTGTAGTAAGTTTTAAAGTAGATAGATGTGAGGGCTCTACAGTTCGGATCGGAGTTCTTAAAAAGCCATTGGGAAGACATAGCTACAATATTATATTGTGTATTAAATTGTAATTAAGTTCTTGCATTATTTCTGTATAGCTAATTGCAGAATCTGGTTAATAAATGAAGACGAGAAATACGGAGTTGGGAGTGCTTTTGTATACATAGGTTGTAGATAAGGATGTATAACAACGTAGTTCCATAATGACATTATACAGTTATTTCAAGGTATTTGGTAAGAGAAAATTAAACTGCCATAGAGGGACTTAAATCTTTATCTGATTAGGAAAAGAAAATTCACATTTTCTTTCCAAAGAGAGATACCACATAGATTTTTTTTGTCTAAGTGTATAAAGATTTTTTTAGAAAGATACAGAATTAAGACTTTTTTTAAAAAGTAATAATGACAAATCTTTTGTGTATGTGATTGTTACTGAGCACCATTGAGTTGGAACCGAACCACAGCTGACCCTCCAGTGGGTTTTCAGGGGCAGTAAATCACAGGGGAGAAAATTGCCCACCTTTCTCCTGTGGCACAGGTGGATTCAAGCCACGCACCTTTGGGTTGTCAGCACAGTTTCTTTCCACTTAGCCACCAGCCGCTGTTTTCTTTTCTCACTCTCCTTTTTTTATTTGAACAGGCATTGGAAAAGTGAAAAGGAAAACTAGTGTCCCAGACTCTGCCTCGCCTGCCGATGACAGCTTTGTGGACCCGGGGGAGCGTCTTTATGACCTCAACCTGCCTGCCTATGTGAAATTTAACTACATGGCAGAGAGAGAAGATGAATTATCTTTGATAAAAGGTACCAAAGTGATCGTCATGGAGAAGTGTAGTGATGGCTGGTGGCGCGGAAGCTACAATGGACAGGTTGGATGGTTCCCTTCAAACTACGTGACTGAAGAGGGCGACAGTCCCCTGGGGGACCACGTGGGCTCCCTGTCGGAGAAATTAGCGGCGGTCGTTAATAACCTAAACACAGGCCAGGTGTTGCATGTGGTCCAGGCGCTCTACCCATTCAGCTCGTCCAACGATGAAGAACTCAATTTTGAGAAAGGAGATGTTATGGATGTTATTGAAAAGCCAGAAAACGACCCTGAGTGGTGGAAATGCAGAAAGATCAACGGGCTGATTGGTCTGGTGCCAAAAAACTATGTTACCATTATGCAGAATAATCCCTTAAACTCGGGTTTGGAGCCGTCGTCTCCACAGTGTGACTACATTCGGCCCTCACTCACTGGAAAGTTTGCTGGCAATCCGTGGTATTACGGGAAAGTTACCAGGCACCAGGCAGAAATAGCTTTGAATGAAAGAGGGCATGAAGGCGATTTCCTCATTCGGGATAGTGAATCTTCG